GGCAATCGGAGAGCATGTGAAGTGGAATTTTTTAGAACAGTTACTGTACTGAGCAAGTTTCATTCTTTTAAAATTTTTAATATGTTTTTATTGGTTTCAGAAAGGAAGGGACAGGGAGAGTGAGAGAGAAACATCAATGAGAGAATCACTGATTGGCTGCCTCCTGCACGCTCCCTTCTGGGGATCAAGCCCACAACCCGGGCCTGTGCCCTTGACCAGGATGGAACCCAGGACCCTTCAGTCTGCAGGCCAACACTGAGCAAGTTTAAAATTCCCTTAACCAACAACCTAGTGATTCTACATCTGAAATCTGTCCTAAAAAATAATGAGTGCATAAAGTCGGGCATTAAAGTATTGTTTTTGAAGGACAGTTATTTCTAAGATACATGGGAAAAAAACCCCAAACCAAACAAGTTGCAACCACATTTAAACACAATCTCAATTACATTAAAAAAACAACAGCTTTGTGTCCAGGTATGAGCCCGCTCTAGCCACGGAACGTGTCCTGGAGGACACCAGTCAGAGCGAATATTCCCAGGAACAGGACAAGGGCAGGAGAGACGGCGATTTATACATTTCTTTCCTATTTGAAAAATTTTTCGCACACACACTATTTTGGTGACCAAAAACCAACCTGCTGACAGCTGCCAAGTGACATGCCTCAGACATCTCAGTCTCCTCGCTCCCTTCCCACTTCTTGGGCGGAGGCTGAAGTCCCAGTAGCTGAGCGGACAGTGCGAATTGCTCCCCCAAACCTCTGCATGGCTACACTCTGGCTCTCGGACCTGGCTGCACACAGCTGCCTGTGCTGGCTCCAAGGCACATCCGACAACACACCCAAACCCCTCCCCCACGGGGTCCAAGCGGAGCCCAGTACAGAGCACCGTTCTGCACAGGACCAAACCCAGACACAGCTGCAAGCACAGCTGACGTTCACACAGAGCCCCTCTCCCAGCCTCATCTGCATAAAAGGGGGGTCGGGGAGGAAAGGAGTAGGAGAAGGTGCATGGGGGGGTCGGGGCGGCACCCACAAAATCCACCCACACCGTCAAGAACTGGAATATCGGCGGAGACGTGAAGCCCCCACGACATGGCTCAGAACTGAAGTAACAGTCACCCCTGTGCTGAAAGGTCTGGGGCAGTGACCAGGCCTCCACTGCAGAGTGACCAAGTCCAGGCAGACACCGCTCCTCCCTCCACCGAGGAGCCAGCACAGCGGCCTCCGCTCCGGGCAGACAGGGAGGCGCCGGTCACCGTCCCTCGCGGGCGTTTTCATTCAGAACTAAGCCTGCTGCCGGTCCACTCCTGTCTCCGACGCACCCCGCACCCCTCGGCGTGACGGTGCACGGCAGGCAGCACAGGGCTGAGCTACTACCAACACCACAGACCGGCGAGGCCGCGTCTTCTGGGCAGGATGCACTCACGTGTGGACTTTCTTCTTTCTTCTTGAATTTGCCATCAAGTGCAACCAACTCTCCTAACCCCACCTCCTGCAGGTGTGCCAACAGCTACTAGCAACCCCTTTAAACTCTGCCCAGAGCTTGACCGTTTCATCCCTCGGCCACCATCCTGCAGCCGCCAGCACGCGGGCTGCCAGAGCGCTCCTCCCTCCACTCCTCCCTCCACTCCTCCCTCCGTGGCTCACCCGTCTCCACGGCACAGCAGGCGGCGTGTCCCCCTGCCCAGCGAGGAGCTGGCGCTGGTCCTCGGCCCGAGCGTCCTCCTGGCGGCGCAGACCGAGTCGAGGAGACGGGAAGGCCCTGGACGGCCCACAGGAAGCTCCGCGCCTGGGTCAGCACCCCCGGCTCTCCCTTCTCGGCTCCTGTTCGTTCCTGCTCCAGCCCCCACGCACTCCCAGCTCCCAAACCTGCCGTCGCCTGTCACCTCCGGCCTCTGCAGTTTCCTGTGCTGAGAAGCACTGCCCACCCGGCTGGGTCTCAACAGGGCACTCAGATGCCAACACTTAAAACTCAAATCCCTCCCCAGCCTGTGACAAACAGCCATGTGCAGACACGCATCACACACCTCCCCTCCTTCATTATCTGCGCCGCCCGAAGGCAGAGTGGTGTTGGGTGGACTCACTGTCGTATCCCCAGCACCGACAGGCCTGACAGGTGGGTGCTCACTAACATCGGCCGAAAGAGCCAAGGAACTAAGCCCAGCACCCAGGCCACAGCAGCCCTGGGCAGCTGGCTCTCACCCCTCAGCAATCACTCCATCCCCGCCACGGCGCGGGACGGGGGCCTTTCTCCCCGCAGCTCAGCCCTCCTCCACAGGAAGCCCGCCCTGACCGTCTCACACCACGGCCTCCTCCCCTAACTCCCAGCCCTGCTCCCGCGGAGCACGTGGCCTGTGTCAGGGTCTCGCCCACCCTCCAGCCCCTGACAGACAGGTTGGGTGCCCCCAGCTGTGTCCTCCATGTCGGTGCCTGAAGGTGTACAATTCCCACAGCCAACAGCCTTCAGAGGCCCAGAGGGCGATACCTGGATCGGCTCACAGATCCGCTCACTGGCCTCAAACTGGCCGGCAGGGCCCGGCCCCGGCCCCGCCCACACTCGCCCAGGCTTCCTCCAATGCACTCCCCATGGCCAGGCGGTCCTTTCTGTCCAAGGAGCTGAGCTCACTGTGCTGTCATCTGTCAGGGACTAAACTAGGCCCCAACAGCACTTCCCCAGCGTCCCAGCTCGACTCCAACTGGGATGCTGGCATTCCCTCATTCAGCCGACAGTTACACGGGGGCTGTGATGGGCCAGTTCTGTGCTTACAGAGACACTTGGTGAATTCTGCCCTCAAAGTGTCCCCCTGGTACAATGCAGTGAGTGCTGTTAGGTTCCATGGCAGCAAGTGGGGAGGGCCTGACATTCATGGGTGCAGGGCCGAGGGAGCCTGCACGTGAGGGGGCACGGCTGGCACCCAGGGGGTGGGGGTCAGATGGGGTGGTCAGCAGCCTAGGAGGAGAGGGCCAGTGATGTGGGGGATGCTTCCAAGGCCAGGGAACTGGGGGTGGGACGTGCAGGGTGTGGGCAGGGGAGCTCCGGAGCAGCCTCCCGATGCTCACAGGGCCAGAATGCCTGCCTACGAGCAGAGCTGGTGGTGGGACAGACATAACAATGAGCCAGCACTAAGGGACAGCTTAACAAATATAAGCAGATCCTTAACATTAAAACTCTTCTCGCCGAAACTGGTTTAGCTCAGTGGATAGAGCGTCGGCCTGCAGACTGAAGGGTCCCGGGTTCGATTCCGGTCAAGGGCATGTACCTTGGTTGTGGGCACATCCCCAGTAGGAGATGTGCAGGAGGCAGCTGGTCGATGTTTCTCTCTCATCGATGTTTCTAACTCTCTCTCTCTCCCTTCCTCTCTGTGAAAAATCAATAAAATATATTTTAAACAAAACAAAAAAACTCTTCTCATCTTCAGATTCTACCATTCAGCTCTAACCGGTTTGGCTCAGTGGATAGAGCTTCGGCCTGCGGACTCAAGGGTCCCAGGTTTGATTCTGGTCAGGGGCATGTACCTTGGTTGTAGGCACATCCCCATTGGGGAGTGTGCAGGAGGCAGCTGATCGATGTTTCTCTCTCATCGATGTTTCTAACTCTCTATCCCTCTCCCTTCCTCTCTGTAAGAAACCAATAATATATATATATATGATTCTACCATTCTGAGACACCTATGTCTCATATACAGAGAAAAAAGTCAAAGTAACAAAAAAGCATCATCCTAACTAACCCCACCTTAGCCCATCCCTCAGTCACCCCGTCCTCTCGTCCACTCATTAAAGGAATGTCCTCCAACGACCGGAATCCCTGTTTCCCCACAACTTCCCGGCGACGCCAAGTGCTCCCTTCCCCGTCCTCGGCCCTTTTCATCCTTCTCCTGGTCCTGTTCGGGCCACGTCCAAATAGGAGAAGTATCAGGTCAGAGACTGCTGTTAGCGTCAGCATGGACGACTGACCCGCCTCCCCCTCCGCCCGGGGAGGGAGGGGGCTGAGGGGGCGGGTCTGAGGAGGGTTTGGTAAAAGGTCGGAAGCGAACAGGTCACGGGGACAGGGACTCAAGGGAAGCCCTGAGCCAGGTAACAAGCCCCCGGGACCTGGGGTGTAGAAAGCAGTTCGGGATGTGGGCGCCCCCTCCCCGCTGCCGAGGGGCCCTGCGCGAGGACAGGGGGGTCAGCAGCCCGAAGCCCCGAAAGGCACTCACGGCCTCCTTCTCTCGGTCCATGATGGTCTCCAGCTCCTCGAAGTGCCGCAGCTTGATCTCCAGCTTCTTCATCTGCGTCTCCACCAGGAGCGCCACCAGGGACTTGATCTTCCTCTCCTCCACCGCAGCCAGGTGCTGAGCACAGAGCAGTCACATGTCACACAGCTGCTTAGGCAGCGGTTCTCAACCTGTGGGTCGTGCCCCCTTTGGCGGTCGAACGACCCTGTCACAGGGGTCGCCTAAGACCATCCTGCATGTCAGATATTTACATGACGAGTCATAACAGTAGCAACATTACAGTTCTGAAGTAGCCACGAAAATAATGTTATGGCTGGGTCACAGCATGAGGAGCTCTATTTAAAGGGCCAGAAGGTTGAGAACCGCTGGCTTAGAGAGGAACATGGGCCGAAGCAGCTATTCCTGCAACTCAGGGATCGTGTCATTTAAATGGGGCCCTTCACGCCCCTTTGCATGTTTCTACCGAACATTTACTTCAAGTTAAACCAGCCCTTACACAGGAGCAGACGCTGAACCAGGGCCCTGATGGGCAAAGGGGAGGACGGTGGCCTGGGCGGCACGTCCATTTATCACCCTGCACCTTGCACCCTCACCCTATAGTCCAGCTGTGGGAAAACTACGGCCTGCGGGCTGGATCCGGCCCATCTGAAATGAATAAAACTATTGAAAAAATAAGACCGTACCCTTTTATGTAATGATGTTTACTTTGAGTTTATATTAGTTCACACAAACACTCCATCCATGCTTTTGTTCCGGCCCTCCGGTCCAGTTTAAGAACCCATTGTGGCGCGGGCAGGAGGGCACCACTTGGCATTCCCTTGCATTAAATCTGCTAAACACCCGGCTCCTCTTGCTGCTACACGAGGTTTTGGGAAGCGATGGCGGGTGGTCTACTGAGCTCTGCGTTTCTTGCAGGATCTAGACGGAGCTACAGGCAGGAGGGCTAAATATATATAGGCTTTTGGAGCAAAAGTGATAGACAATATTTGAAAGAGTCATTTTCCCTTTTCACTGCTGAAAACGGGAGGCTTTAGGAACACATCTACAGCCATTAATGTTTGCCTCCCTCAACAACCTTGCGTTTCACCGATACCACCACCAGCTCTCGGGAAGATGCCCAGACTCCGAGCTGGCGTGAGGGACGTGCTGCCACGTGTGACTCTGAATGAGAAATGCACGCACGTGATGCAAAACGGAAAGCTCACCAGGCGCCCAATAGCGGCGTCTCCCTCACTGCGCTGCCTCCTTCGGAGGAGACCAGTGGACCAGTTTCTAGATCTGTTTCCATGAGCCTGGGGTTCCTAGACTTCTGCTGGCTTTGGCAGGAAATGTTCCATTTTCTTGAGAATTATGCAGGAATGTGGGGACCTCCCCAACCAGTAGGAAATAAGGAGCACGAAATTTCAAAACAGAAAGGACCATCAGGTAACAAGAAAAGAAACATGAAGAAGAGACCACAGCCTGAACTATCGGGGCCCTATGTGAAGGACGTGACTCTAACCACCACGCAGTACCCCTGAAGCGCAGGCACATCACATCGGATGTCGACTGTCATTGAAAAATACAATTTAAAAAGTTAAGTATCAGAAAATGATAAAAATGAAAGACCCACAGCAAGGGACAACATTGGAAATGTAAGAACATGAGACAACGTGAGAATCCTCAACGAGTTCAAGATCATTATGTTTAAGAAAATGTAGAAAATATGGGTAAAACAGAATTTCAACAGATTTAGAATATGTGTGTGTGTGTGTGTGTGTAAGAATGAATGATTGGCTAGAAAATATACTAAATGGAAAAATAACTCAATGATGAAGTTTACAAGCAGGAGACTTGACGAGTGAAGGGAAAGACAGGCTGACAAGCTATTCCAGCTGCAGCAGAGTGAAAAGACGCAAAAGGAAACCAGAACCAAAGGGAGGAGACGTGGACACCCGGCAAAAGGTGTAACGCTCACATCAACGGAATCACAGAAAGGCTAGAAAATGAGAGAGAATCAACAAAGAGATCATGGGTATAAGAGAAACCTATGTAAGTTTACTAACTAATGTCATCCCAATAACTTAAAAACAAAGAGAGATACGGGGTGAGAATTTCCCACAATAGATGGAACAAATCAGCTGAGATATTCGAGAAGCTTAACAATTCCCAAGGAGAGAAAATACAATAAAAATCATCTGAAGGTACAACCCAGTCAGAGAAATAAAAAAAAAAGAATCTTAAAGTGTGGACTGGAAAGAGCACATGACCCTCAATGAGCTCAGTGCACGGCACTAAGGCCACGCTGGCTCAGAAGCAGTTACAACAGGAAGTGGCATTTGTTTAAATGTTGGGGGGAAAACGAACCGCCTTGACCTCTCTACCCACTGAACAAACACACACTTCAAACATGAAGGTGAAATCAAGTCCTTTTAAGAGAAACAAAAGTCAAGGCTGCACAGCAAAAAGTTCTAAAAAGAGTTCTTTAAACAGGAGAGGAAACCTATTCCATTAAAGAAAACACTGAAATGGAGAAAGGAACTGAGCAGCAGTCAACAGAATTATGTTCTACCATTAAAGTAGCAAAAGAATTCATATTAAATGGCAAAATTCAAGAATGCATCATGCAATCATTAGAAAAAACACACTAAAATAACAAAAGTATATGTAATTACCAAGATTGCAAAGGAGAAAAAAGAATTAACATATTGGATTAATTAAAAACAAAATTTTACACTGGAGGAAATCGGTAAGTAGCACACAGGATGACTATAATAATATTTCTGCAACGTCTTTGAGTCTATAGTTATTTTTAAGAAGGGGGGGAGGGGAAGCCTGCCTAGACGACACAATGTCATGCGGCAGGAGGAGCTGAAGCCTGGTCCGCAGGCTCCACAGGGGACCGAAGTGTGTGGAGGGAGACGCTGAACCAGTGGCTGTCCAGGCACATGTTACTCTACTGCCACATGCAACCAGGGTGGCGAGAATTTACATTAGTCCTTAATTAGGTGTTTTAAAATGCTCTCTAAGAGTTCTATGTACTCCTACACCAGCGGTTCTCAACCTGTGGGTCATGACCCCTTTGGTGGAGAAACGACCCTTTCACAGGGGTCACCTAAGACCATCCTGCATGTCAGGTATTTACATGATGATTCATCACAGTAGCAACATGACAGTTATGATGTAGCAATGAAAATAATTTTATGGTTGGGTCATAGCATGAGGAGCTGTATTTAAAGGGCCAGAAGGTTGAGAACCACTGTCCTACACTGAGCTCTGACACTGACACCCTGTGAATTCCACGTCTGTCCTGTAGGCTGTGCAGCACAGTCAGTAGGAAGGGCAAAGGGGAAGCCGGGCTGCTTACTGCCGGTGTAACCACGGCTTCGCCGTCCCCTGCCTGACTTCCATCTGTGACCTGGAAACAACGGTACCCACAGGACAGATGTGAGGACTGAGGACTGAGCACAATGCCGGCCCGATGCAGCGGTGCGGACCCTAAGCTGTGACCCCGTGCCGCCTGGAGCCTCTGGAAGCCCCGCCTCCACCCATGGCCGCTTCAGCACGTCTCCAGGCCAAACTGGAGATGCTAAACAGGCACCAGAACCACCCCAGCCCAAGCACAGGGACTAGTCATCGGTGTGGGTAGTAACATCTGGGTTTGAGTGGAAACAGGAGGGAAAGCGCATGCTGCACGTTACATTTGGCTTTTTCATACTTCAGTTCCTAGAAACGATTCTGACCGTCTTTGTACACGTGTCAAACCCGAC